ATATGAACATAGAGATCTCTGTGGTGCTGGTTATTATGTTGTGTATAATATTAATGGTACATGTACTGAATCAAATACTGGTAGATTACATCTTGTACATCTCTTAACCTTTTATACATTTTAAAATCTAACTATCATTAAAGATGCATCATTTGTGATTTAGTGCTTGCTGTAATAGTTCCAAAATAGATAATTCAAAACTAATATATTGAAAATTTTAATTCGAATAACTTTATTCTGAGCGACGCCCTCTCCCACTGGGCGCCGAACCGCACCCTTTCCATTGGACACAATACGAAGCCAACGACCAACGTGCCCATATCAGTATGGGCGTCCCATAAAGCCATGTGACATTGGTTGGGCTTCCCCCTTCTACCCCCCACGCCCTTTCAATTGTACGCAATACGAAGCCAACGACCAACATGCCCATATCAGTATGGGTGTCCCATAAACCCGGGTTTGCATTTGTTGAGCTGCCCCCCTTGCCCCCGACCCCCACTAGCTACGGGCCTGCGTTATCACTGTTTGATATTTTGACATAGATTGTTCATTAAACAAAGGAATAAAATGGGGTTTTAAAGTCCTACTTTTTAGCCCCGACTGGGCTAATGAAGACGGCCATATGCATTACAGTGTGCTTTGAGGGAAATTTTGCCCGGACAGCGCCGCGATGGCCTAGTCTTATTTCCAATTCCAAATGCCAGGGGTTCTTTTACGTGCTGGCCAATGTGGACACGGGGTCTCGGTTTGTCGTGCAATCCGAAGAATTAGACACTGCCCCAGCAAGGACCTCTGCCCTGCATCACTGACAAGGGGGGAACCACACCGGAAAATTCCGAGAAATTTTCTCGGCCAATACCGAGACCCCTTGTCCATGGTTAGTGAGTCAGTGTCTTACTCACTGAGCCATGTTGGCTACAGACTTAACAAACATGTCGCTAGATATTTTACATTAGCGTAAATCCCTAAAGCATGATAAATGAAAGAGTACTTGGTAGGCAGTTAGCCGGAATAATGAATACAGATTTCATCGGTTTTCTAAAAACATGGCCAGTTGCATCAAGTGTTTGCTACGTTATTATTCTGAAGACGGAGTTGAACTTGCGGTGAACTAAATTGACTTGTACAGCATCTATAATAGACTCCAAACGACAACCGGTAAATTATTATCTAATAGATTTCTAGCGCGAAAGTCGGCTAACCGCACTTATGTTCCCTTCTGGTTATATGGCGTACATAAAATATTCTGACATATTACACTTGAGTAACATCTATTCTAGATAGGCATTTAGGCATGAAATGATTATTCATATAAAGTGATGCTAACGAATAAGCCATTTGTTGCTGCGATTCGACTGGAACAATTATATAGTCATAAGCTGGCACCAACCTCAGATAATTGCAGAATTTATGGACAACAGTTAATTGATACATATTTACTTTATGTAAAAACTAGATCACCTAATCCATCTTCGTACTTGAAAATAGATTAAGATGTATTTCAGAAAATGAACTTAAGAAGGGCGTGTTCACGATTTTAATGTTTTCTTAGTTCGCGTCTTCAATACCGTTACCAGCAAATACATCAGACATATGTGAAGCCAGTCATGTAACTTATAATCTGGACAGAGGCCTACCACTGGGTTTTGTAATGTATTATGGATATTATATCATTTGGATTACATTTAAATGAAATAAAGTAATTGAATCGCTAAAATAAAGACAGCAGTTCTGTGTAAAACAATTACTGTATTTAATCGGAGTTACGTTTCTACAATGATTCTCTTGTCGTTTTCATGCACAATACTGATAGAAAAATGAAATGAATTGAAATGGGGTTCAACGAACTTCCCCTTCTGCCTCGACTGAGCTAATGAAGAAGGACATACGCCATGTAGTGTGCTATGAGAGAAATTTTGCCCGGACAGTGGCGCTACGGCGTACTCCTTTATCAAATTCCAACTGTCAAGAGATCTGTTACGTGTACGCCACTGTGTACACATGACCTCGGATTTTCGTCCCATCCGAACGACTAGACAGCTGCCCTTGTCAGACCCTCCGTTCTGCATCACTTCAAGGGGAAACCACGCATGAAAATCCCGCGACCTCCGGGCTAGCGAGCCCGCGTCTTACTCACTTAGCTACCGCGATTCCCACAATACTGATACAGTCCGACAGATACAATGTACACTCAAAACATCAGTGGAACCATTTAATTAACGAGAACAGCTGGCTCTTTGATACATGTAATAACTGTATAATTTAATGACATTTTACTACTTTAATGAGCATATCGATTCCCCGGTTGTACCTGACAAGGAGTAGGGTCGCCTGTTCAACTTCGTGGGTTTTCTCCGGGCCCTCCGGTTTCCTTCCACTACTAAAGACCCCTACGCGCAAGCGAATTATTCAAATACAATTGAACCATGTGTTAGTCCCGAAATGACCTAGTTTGTGTAAGTCGACGTTAAATCCCATCTCTCTCTCTCTCCTATGGCGTTTAAACGTCGAATGCTATGATAGAAACATGTCAGTATAAAAAACATCTTATTTGCTATATCACCTAGGTAGAATCGGACGTAAAACTTATATTTCACACAAAATTAATATACATAATCAAAACAACACCTCTTTAGGCAGTGCGTCTAATTTGTGTGTGGGCGTGTGTCTGTGTTGATAAATTAATTATGTAAACTGGAAAATACACAAATAGTTTTTTCTAGGAGTGGTTTTGGTCTGTTATTTTCCCAGTAAACATCATATAACCTTCATTAATATGGAACCCTTGATTAAAGAGGTATTCCGTTGTAATTGCTCAAATGTTTTACTCTAATGCAATCTGTTTGAGTGAATAAAGTTAGTTTATTATTAAATCGACTGCAGCCTAGTAACATTTAGTATGTCAGTATATTCGACATATTAACCGTAAACCTCGTGTGGTGAGATATGCATAGCTTCTACTGGACAACGTGCTCATTGAAGGATGTTTGACTCTAATGGAACAAGGTTACAATCGGTTGGATAATTTAAAGTTTATTTTCCAATATATTGCAGTCTAGTTCTATTTAGTATGTCAACATATTCGAACTTTAGCCGTAAATCCCGTGGACAGATATGCATAGAGACAACTTGGTCATTGGGGGATTAACCAGTGCCTCCTCTAACCCATCATACGAGACGTGGAGAGTTAACTATAAGTCACTATATGACTGACAGATGACTATAGGATTGTTCCCGCTACTGTCACAAACCTACTAACGATACTAATTAATGATTCTTGTCACATGATAACTACATTGTTAAAACGCGGTATTCTTAAATAGTCGGAGGGTTGGATCATTGGATGGCCGAGTGGTTAGCGCGTGCGCGTTGTGCCATAAGGTCTGTCATTGAGCCAACTGACGTGGTTTCGATTCCCCGGTTGTACGGGACAAGGAGTAGGGTCGCCCGTCCAACCGCATGGGTTTTCTCTGGGTCCTTCGGTTTCCTCTCACTGCCGAAGACATCTACGCGCAAGCGAATTATTGAAATAAAAGTTAACCATGTTAGTCCCGAAATGACCTACTTCGAATGTTTATTAACTTCGTCTGTTTATGCAGATTTCCGGAGATATAGATTTTTTGGCTTTTTTTATGGTGGGGGACGGAGCGATAATATAGTTTCTAAGTTGAGGTAAAGTTGGGTTTCCGGATTCATGGTTGAAGATATCAGGAGATATTGTTTAATTTCTGGTAAATTAGTGACTAGGTCGAGGTACGGTTGGATGTTCTGGTGTATGGTTTTAGATTTCCGGGATATTTTTTTGAAAACCCCTATACATAACCCTCGCGTTTTTATGAGGACAGTAACTCTGTGAATCGTTGATGCGAGACATGGGATGTGAAAACATCTTTAAAAAGTATCAGGGTTTACATAACAAGGGCATAAACTCTGTGAAAAATTGATACGATATTTTTAAAAAAATACATCTTAGAAAATCATATCTGTAGTATGTTTACAAGAAATTCTATACATAGACAAAAACTATGACGATATAGAACATTACAATTCTGGTGTATAAAACAGCTATAACAACGATAGGGAATAATTTGTTCTCATCAAGTAACAAATAGAATACAACCTGTCTAGTTGTTCGGATTGGACGAAAAACAGATGTTCAATGTACGGATTGGCGTCAAGTAAAATAACTTTTGGAATTCGATATATGAGTAGTCCGTAGTGCCGCTGTCTTGGCGTATTCCCCTTTTTATTGGCTCAGTCGATAGAGAACAGAATGACGCTAATCCTTATTTCATTCCTTATTTCCATGGAAGCGTATAAGGGTCAATATCGGGATAGAACTGCGATACTAATATGGTAAGAAATGCCAACATATTATGATCGTTGCTATGTTGTCATTTCGTTTTAAATGCACATGTTTGCGTTACGATATTGCCATTCTGCAGCTTTGTCAACATATTTCATGTCGCCGTAGTACAAGTCGAACGGGGAATGGAATGTTTAAAAAAGCTTAAGAATAGCAACATTAAATAGAAAAAAAATGTCTTTTCCATTTTAAACAACGATCACATTAGGTTGATATATTACCCTAATACTATCGTTGTATTTATAGCACTTCCATAAATATATGATTAGGGGTGAGTTAGGTACGAGTCGTATTCGCCTAGAATAGTTTGTAAATATAGATCCGTTATAAATATCTTTGATACAGATTTCAAAATGAATTTTCAAAATGTTTGAGTTCTTTAAGTGCATTATAATATATTATTATGTGTGTGTTATAAACATTTGAACATTAGAGTTATTTAAGTCTAGCTCATTTTCCCCGTTTTAAAAGCAGGTTAGAAGATCGGAAAGAAATAATACATTAACGGATGATTTTATGAATACAGAATACAATTGAATTTAAGTCATATATATATATATATATGTGTGTGATAAACATATAAAAATATATTAATTTTCAACCCCTGTAACCATATACTTTTTTTTATTTTCAGACAAATATGGAAATTGGTAATTAAATCCAACAGTTGGTTTAGAAATAGCTAGTTTACAACATGGAGCCGAACACAACTCCTTGGTTTTTGAATTCTTCAGCTGGTCCTCCCCCAGGCTATGCTCCACTAGAAGTTCCAGCATATCTTCAAGCCATAATTATAACTATGTATACCCTGATCATCGTTTTAGCTGTGGGAGGAAATCTTATAGTTTGTTATACAATATTACGGGTTCGAAGAATGAGAACAGTCATTAACTTCTTCATAATCAGTTTAGCCATCAGTGACATTTTAATGGCGATTTTTTGCATACCGTTTACTTTTGTGGCCAACTTGGTTCTTAACTACTGGCCCTTTGGAGATTTCCTGTGTCCCGTTGTTACATTCTTACAGACCGTGGTGGTATTGTTGAGTTGTTTTATACTAGTGGCAATCAGTATCGATAGATATGTTGCCATTATTTATCCCCTGAGACAAAAATTAACGAAGAGACAAGCGGGCATTATCATTGCCTTTGTGTGGTTTTTAGCATTCTGCATACCTCTGCCTACAGCACTTTATTCCAAAGCTCATAAATATGTGGATTACCCGACGGCTCCCGAATTCTGTGAGGAAATATGGACGAATGGAACTATCCGATATACTTACAGTATATGTATATTATTGTTACAGTATTTTATTCCTCTTGTAGTTTTGGCTTTTACATATGGACGTATTATATTTGTTATGTGTATAAAGAAGCCCCCGGGAGAAGCCGTGTCCACGCGTGATAGAATAATGGCGGAATCCAAACGAAAGGTAAGTTATCGGCAAGTTGTTTACACTAATCTCCTGAGGACTTCCGAGAGTATCCATTGAATACTATCCTACCGCGCTTTCCAATACGAGGCTTTATCACGCACCAAACGGAACAGGAGTGTCTGGCATGGATGATGAAACCATTCATTAAATTTGGCACATGCTAAAGCTGCGTTCATTTATCGATATTCAATTTCTTTGCTGTATTGATATGGAAATAGTCATGTTTTCCCTGGATGAAGACTTTACACATTCCTTAATAAACGGATATGTGCCCTAGGTCCTGCCTTTGGCTAAGTATAAAATATTAATGGCTAAGAAAGAATAGGCATGTACGCATGTTTTAGAAATCAAATGCCCAACACACTCCATCTCCTGTGGTTCCATCCTTTATCAGCAAAACGTGATTCATAATTAAAGGACAATACTGGTGTCAGTCATTATCACATATGTAATAGAGCTGTTTATACACGTGCCAGATGTAATTTTAACACAGAGATCATTGCTACGATATATGCGTAATGAAGATTTCAAGAAACGGGAGTTACGAAAGCGAAAATAAAACACGAGTTATCCTTCTATACAACTGACTGAAGTGACGATTGATAACAGACACACAGGCGAATTTCTGCTCACACATAATTCCTCCGAAGACCAAAAGTTGTTATATGAGACCGTGAGAGGATATCTGACAATTCAAAAAAAAAAAAAATAATAATTGACTGTCACTAGATAAGAGAAAAGGAAAAAAAATATAAAAAGTCCGAACATTAAGTATAGGATGAAAACAAACCAAGGGAATGTACGGACCATTTCTAGTTTTCTTGTTTTCTAGTGACATTCAATTACTTATTTGAATTGTCAGATATCCCTTCACAGTCTCACATAACTTTTACTCTTCGTAGGATTTATTAGTGAGCAGAAATTTGCCCGTGTAACTGTTATCACTCGTCACTTCAGTCAGTTATGAACAAGGATAAGTCGTGTTTTCCTTTTGCTTTCGCCACTCCCGTTTCTTGAAATCTTCATTACGCATCTATCGTAGCAATGATCTCTTTGTTAAAATATGTGATAATGACTGACACCAATATTGTCCTTTAAATGGATATCCTACAGTAAAATGCGGGTAGTATATATCGCGACGTCATTATTGTGCAAAAACAGTCTGCAATATAAGCTAGCTCATTGGAGATTATATACCCGAAATGGTATTTTCAAGTTTTAACATTAAAGATGCCTTCCCGCGTAAAACTGCGATTTGATGATATATTTGTAGTAAACACATATTCAAATCATTTTTTATATCAGACGTTAAAACTTTTTAAGCGCACAGAACAACTATCCCATGCTGCAAGAATTTATTTAAGCCTCATTGTTTTTTCACGTGACTTGATTGAGAAATAATTCATTTACAGGCTGCATTTGTCGTTAGTCGCAGTCCATATACCATAAATATCGAACTAAATTCTTGGATTATACTCTGCCAGCTACTTTTTCCGCCGTTTAATCAACGTGTCCACAGTCGGACGTTTTATTCTCTCAGTGTTCTCACAACCGTTAGCCATTAGATCAACGCATATGAAGCGCTGTCAGATAGTGGCAACCCTACATTTTAATCCTGTGGGCGCTCCATGCTTGTTGTTTTGGGGTATCCAGTACCCTTCTTGTAAGATTTGGTCTGTCTATCAAGTATGCTGTCCTTTATCGAAAACAAATTCATTTCATGATCATAAAATTTGGTTAGATATATCGTCAATTCGAAATTGTGGGAAAATTATCAGAATTTTTAGCCTTGATGACGATTACGTACCCTAATGTGTATTTTAGGTTAACATTATAGGCTTCTTTTAGTGTAGTAAGGGGGTCACGGTGGCTCAATGAGTAAGACGTTGGTTCACTAACCTGGAGGTCACGTGTTCGATCTCTGTGTTGGCAGAGAAAGTTCATCGGGATGAACGGAGGGCCTGCGAAGGCACAGCAGATAGTCGTTCGGATGGAGCGAAAAACCCAGGTTCCGTGTACAATTGGCGTTGAATTTTGAAATAAGAGTATGCTGTAGCGTCTCTTTCCACGCAAAATGTCCCTTATAGCACACTGCATAGTGTAAGCCCCTCTTCATTAGCCCAGTCGGACCAGAACAGTAGGAAGTTAAACCCCATTTAATATAGTAGGGGGAAAGAGGAAGGGTAAGTGTGTGCGTTAGATCAGAGGGTCTGTTCTTGAGTCAACTGGCGTGGTTTAGATTCCCCGTTTGTATGTGACAAGGAGCAGGGTTTTCTGCTCAAATCTCTCTCTCTCTCTCTCTCTCTCTCTCTCTCTGTAATATAGTAAAAGTAGTTTAGATGTTCTATATTGTCTTGTAGATTAAGTATACAACTAAATGAAACACAATTTAGACCGAGTTTGCTACGTTGTAAATTGATGGAATGTGACAGGAGCGATGAGTCACCGTAACTGGGTTGTATTAAAATGAGAAAACAGGGTGCTAGCGATTCTTATATTGAATGAATCAATACGAGGTGTCACTTAAAAGATCTCGATATTATTTGTACAGTATCGGATATTTTGATGAAGATTTTAACAATAGATAGCGATATAAAAGCAAGCCCGTGTGCTAGATGTCACTTGAAGATGGAAAGGGTTTGGGGAAAAACTACTAATTTTAAATTGATCACACATATATTGCAATTTGTTCATGTTTCACGTTTGCGATAAATGGTTTAATAAACTATCACCGTACTTCTTTGGGTGACGTTTAGTTAACTAAATAATAACACACTAACAAACCAGTTGTGGAATAACATTTTTTTGGTTTATTAACATGCTAACGTTGCATTTGTTTGAAAATACCCCCTCGATTTTTATATCTATGTTAATTCATATTTCTCTTTATTGGATTCCAGTTCTAATATGGGTCGGCAAACACGACTTGATATTTAACTACTCAGCTGTCTGTTCTGTGTATGCGATTGGTTAAATTAATTCTTCTTCAAGCAAAATCTTCTGTTAGTTAACATTGTGAAGTTCAGGTCCCGAATTCAAAAAATATTCTCAGACTTTAAGTTAAGATTATCGACTCCCATTGGGAGAATCGTCTTGTAGAGTACAATTCTTACAGATTTAGATCCGTTGATTGCATGTTAATCACTAAGCTAAAGGTAAAAGAGATGCTAACACCCAAACGAAAGCCTATAAAACTAATATTTGGAAATGAATCAAATCTCAGATGTACACATATTCGTGAGTTAAAACATCTCATAGAAAAGCAAAAACCGGTTCCAAAATGAGAAAGATTAAGTAATATAGTTTTCTTTCTATGGGATTTATTAACCATTAAATTATATATATACGCTATTTATAATAAATTTCAAAATTAATGGAAATAGGGTTAAACGCCCGCCCTACTCTTCGGCTCCGACTGGGCTAATGAAGATTGGAATACGCACTATGGCCTACTCTTATAGGCCAAAGGGATATTTTACGTGCACGCCAATACATAGACGGGACCTCGGTTTTCGTACCATCCGAACGAATAGACAGCTGTCCTTGTCATGCCTTCAGCCTTCCGTCCTGCACAACTGACAAGGGGAAACCACGTCGGAAAATCCTGGTGAACTTTCTCGGCCAATGCAGGGGTCAAACCAATGAACTCCAGGCTAGCGAGCCAACGCCTTACCCATGGTACAGGGCAACGTTCTTGAAAGGGAAGGTTAGACTATGAAGTAGACCTTCGAACTTCTCAAATCAGCAATTTCAAACGAGATTTGTGAAGATATTTTTCGGGTGTTCCACATCTATACTTTAAAACTCGTGATCACGATGTAAGATTAGATCTGCATGTTGTATAGACGAGCAATATTTTAAAGATTTGTTTTTAAGCAATATTTTTATTCAGGATGTCTGAATGGGATTGTTTAACAGACTCTGCCTATATAAAACCCCTCTCCCTAAATTATATATATATTTCTAAAGATATAACTTTACTTTGAATATTTCACATTTTCATTGAAATACATGGTCCTGCCATAATCAAATTATAGATGTCCTAAAGGATTTAACCGTTACGTATACATATGTATGTTCGAGACAAGGCAGAGATAGTCCATCTAGCCAAGCACAGAAATCCAACTACATACGTACCCGCATATAGTCGTCTTCAGTCTTTACGTATCACATAATCTTCGTTGGTTGAATCAGACTGAACACGTGGAAGCACGCCTTGATCTTAATTAAGTAAAATATATACCTATTTGATCTATTTTAAAGTCATTTTATAATATACCATACATAACTTTGTTATTAACAACTTCACAAAGGTAGTCTTCTTGAAAAGATCTTTAAAATTTCGCGTAGACTGTTAAGAGTGGAACACCATCTTTGTGTGCTCATATTCGTCGATAATTGCAACTCTTTAAAAGCTGAGCGCACTTAACATGGTAACCCAGATTCATGTCTGATTGTGTATTTAGCAACCCATTTGTCTCGACTCTTTAAAGAGCTCAATAACTGCTTCCAAGTGACTTTGAAATAGAAATCAATGAAGCATCATTGCAGGACATAAGGGGGAAATTGCCTTATTTAATACGACCACTTTTAAGTCGTTAGAAAATGAAAAGGTTTAGATGGTATGGCATGATGAAAGACCTTTTACACAAGTATAGCATTATAATGGTGCCTTCTGATAATACCGTTCACGCCATTGTGATTGCGGAGACGGGCGCCAAAGCGTTTCTAAATAACGGATTGCAATTAGTTGTGAAAAGTAGGATTATGATAACGTGAAAGGTTAATATAAAAAATTACCTGGAGAATAATAAACTTTACATCGATCTTGCAGTCGTTTGTGATAATTTTAATCTCATTAGAATTTTTTTTGGGGGAAAAAGGCAGTTCTGAGTTCCGTTATAAAACATACATGATTGATCAGTGGTCTATATGAAATAAGATTTATTTATATTTAGTCACGTAACTGAGAATTATATTTCTCTTAAAACTAATAT